TAAGCATGGATTCCAAATACTGAATTCATTTAGATGTACATGAACTCTTTAAACATCTGCGTTGTTCCTACCAGAGTTCCTAGAAGGTATGTTTTGTATGTGCCTTTGCTGGAAGATAAATTATCCGAAAATAGGAAGATTAATTCACCCAGTTCTCGTTAATAGCACTAGATCCAATAGATAGGTCTGAACGTTTAATCGTTTTTTGTTTGGTTTTTTTTTTTGGTCATTCTTTATTTTGTCACGCAGTGTTATGAGTTGACCTCTAGGGGGCAGTGTCATCCCAGGACTTCTGGCAAATGGGTTTCCAACCTCCACTCACCATCGCGTGGCAGTTTTTGAATCCTTGTCTAGAATATAATCATTAATCTGTCTTTTAATTGAGCATCCTGTGTACCCGCTTAAGTATAAGTCAGTCTTTTTGGAAAAGAGGACACTACTTATGAAACTGTAACAAGCACGTTTGGTAGTATATCCGTGTGTGTGTAGTGTGTGTATTGTGCGTGTGTATTTAACATGCCTATTTCCAAAGTTCTTTGATTGAAATTTCACCAGGTAAAATTTAAACACACTAGAGGGAGGAGGAATGGAAAACACGCACATGCACAGCCATAGATTAATTAACCTCCTCACATACTCACTGGGAATTCTTGGTATTCTTTGAAAATAATAACTGTTATAAATTGCAAGATAAATAATGAACTATATTATTTCATGCTTCCCGAATGCAAATGCTTAAGATACATGGATTGAGTCTTGCAAATCCTAATGAAAAGTAAATCCTAATGAAAAGTACTTTTCCAGTTGGATACTAGAGAGCAGATGTTTTCCCTTCCCTGAGCTCAGACCAAGCGTCTGTCAAATGGTAAATGCTTGACTGAGTTCCTTACACTTAAGAAGATGCTTTCATTTTTAACTGACAGGCAGAGTTATGAGGATTTCTCACAGATTCATTAATTTTGAAGTCACATTAAAATCTCCCACGATATGTACCTATAAATAAGGGGCAGGAGAAGGGCACCTGTGAGTATGCACATTTAATTGCATCGTTTGCTATGTATCTTGACCATAAGCTGACGCAGCCATGCATGTCTAGGATTCAGTATTCCAGTGCCCTTTTACTTTCCTGAGGCTGAGGCAATATTTTTTTTTCCATTCATTAGTCATTCAATAGGTCTTTTTTTAGTGTCAGGAACTGAAAAAGGTACTAGAAATGCAAAGATGAATAAGACTAGTATCTACCTTCAGAGGGCTTACATATTAATGCACGGAGACAAGTTTTTTTTAAATGATGCTAGATTATAATTGCTATTATAGGGTTTATCTTCTGTATACTATGGGATCATAGAGCAGGATCAGTTAACCCAGACTCAGGGTACAGGGATAGTCATGGAAATCTTTCTGGAGGATTAATACGCTGAGTCACAAAGGAAGAGTCAAAAATAATCAGGTGGGAATGGGGAGGTGAAGGATGTGACAAGTGGCGCAAACAGCATGTGTGTAGACAGGACCAAAGAAGAGGCATCTAGCCGTATCTGGGAAAGCCAGTGAAGGCTTTTTGAAGACACTAACAATTGAACATTAGGAAGTTACAAGTAGATTAGCATGGCTAGATTGCAGGGGTGGGTGCGTGTACTGAGAGCCTAGAAAATGTGCACTAGTCACAGAAGGTGAAGGGTATATTTACTGAGTATATTTTGTTCATTAAAATTTAACTCTTATGTTAATAGAGCTTTTGAAAATGTGGGGAAAATAATGGACTTTCTCCCATAAAAATGCACAGGAGTGTACAGAAAATTATTTAAGTAATTGTAGAATTAGACTCATGGTTTTGTAGGTATATAAGAAAAAATATCTGAAGTTGTTTAAACTTGGACTCTTGTAGATAGTTTTTCTAATTGAGTTATTCTGGAATTTTCTGATAATTCTACATACTTAATCAATTTCAACACCTAAAGTCAGGCCAGCTCCAATTTTGTGAGATTGAGGCATGGAATGAACAGACTGTAGGTCTGACACAGAATATTTTCCTGAGAAATTAAAATGTAGTGTTTAATTGGATAAGGAAGTGAACTTCAGAATAGGATAAAAATCAACTTACAGGTTCCGAAAACAAAATAATTATGAAAATCGTAGAGAATTCTTTAAAGATTATTTAAAGTAAAACTATTGAACAGTTTAAAATTGCATAATTATTCATATAAAGATGAACTAAAGATTGATCATTGTGCCTGAGAACTATCATAAGTTTACGGAGAGCATATAACCCAAGACAGTGAGACTAGGAGGAAGGTATAGTAGTAAAAATCACAAGGCTTGATATTCAAATAAATTGTGCAAGGAGATAAGCCAAAGTATTTCCTTTGGTTATTACAATACAGTATCAAGAAAATTCTCCAATACTTGCATAGTAATAACAAGACATATTTTTCTCTAAAGTTGAGTCCTTTACAAGACATGGTGATGTAAGGGTTCATCAAATTTACTTTAAACATTAATTAATATTGCATTGAGTTTTTTTCAATAAATGTGTGTATCGATTTCTCTATTTCTTCCAAGGTATTCATCCACCTCTGAAAGTTTATGCTAAACTTGAAGATGTGAGAGAGGACAGTATAATTCTTCAGTGGGAACCCTCACAAGACAGCCATGAGGTCTACATTCAAATCAAAGCCATATCAGATATAAGAGAAGTCAGGAAGCTTTTTGTAAAGGATGCTACTAGATTCAAGGTTGATAATTTAATCCCAGGAATGACATATGACATTGGAATGGCAACAGTGATGAATGGGAACTTAAGTGAGCTAGTAACTATTCAACAAACTCTAAGTAAGAATCAAATACTTTTCACTCTTAACATACATTTGCTGATTTGGGGTTATTGTAAAATAGTTTCTGATAGACCCTTTTGGTAGCAGGTTTTACCTTTTTAAGTAGATTGCTGGTGTGTCTCAGGCTCTGGATCAGTTTGCACCCCTTGTATCCTGAAACTACTTTATACTTGTAAATAGTCAGCATTGGTTGTGATGAGGAACTTAATTCTAAAGCCATACTACCTAGGTTTGGATCTGGGTTCAACTATCTGAGTTATCCTGGGCAGTGTACTCAACCTGTTTGTTCCTGTTTCCAAATCTGTAAAGTGGGAGAAAATAATGTGTTTCATGCATTGTCCTGAGAATAACTGGTTTAATAAATGTAAGGACTTAGAACAGAACCTGACATATAGCTATCTAAGTGTTTTTATTGCATCAACAAAGGCGTGCTGTAGCACACTGGAAGGAAATATTGACAGTGTATAAAAGATTTAAGGCCAAACCAATGAGAAGATTCCATTTTATTTCTCAAATAAAATTAATTCACTAAGTAATTATTGAAAATTTAATAAGGAGGAAGAAAGAAAAGGAAAATGAAAAGTGAATAATATTTATAAATTGTGATAAACATTAAGAGGGACGAGAGCTCTTGTGGCTGAACTATCCCAGCAAAGCAGGTTGGGGAGATGCAAACATATGGGGGTCATAAAAATTTTTCCTGAAATGTAACTATTTAAGGGACTGCTTTGCCTGTTTTCCCAAAGCACAGGGTGCTTCATCTTGTTCTTTGTACTGAGTTCCTTCCCTGGTGTATTTTGGGTCTGCAACTTTGGTGGCTAATGACTTAATCCTTATAGAACTGTATGGCAAGTGACATTCCTGGTTTTACAAGAGTGATTGAAGAGGGTCGGAGGTTTCAGCTGTAGATGGGCTGTAATTGAAGGAGTAACATTTGAATGGAGGCTTAAAAGGAAAGGAGCCAGAGCAGATCACGACGGAGGAAGGGTACTTGAGGCATGAACAGTTAGCACAAAGGGAAAAGCTTGGCGTATCAAAGAACAAAAAGGCCAGAATATGTGGTGTCTGAGGAAGAGAGGAGAGTAATAAGAAATGATATTGGAGAAGTATTCAGGGGTCAGATCATATGGAGCTTGTAGGCTATGCTTTTGAGTCTGTTCTGAGGACAATGGGAAAACCCATTGAGGGTTTTATGCAGGAGAATGACAATGTGACCTGTGTGTCAAAAATTTCCCCCCTGATATGTGCCAAGAATGGTTTGTATAGGGGTAAAAGAATGGAAGTAGGGAAACTGGGTAAGAGTGTTGGAGAATCTAGGCAAAAGATTATGGTGGACAAGATGGGGAAGTGCAGATGGAGTGCAGTAGACACATTTTATTTTATAAAAGCAGGGAGTCCAAGGTTTGATGGTGGATTGCTTGTGATGAGTCATGAAGGGGAGAAATTTAGGTCTTGACTTAACCAATTTGGGTGGATAGTGGTGACTCTGAGGAAGGCAAGATCGTTGGACCTCACAGGCCTTTTGGCTAA